TGCAACCCACCACTGGTTCGCCATCATATGGTCATAGTGTAATTTCTTTAGCTTACAAATTCTTATTCCTTTTCTGCACTTCACAAAATACTGCCTCCCCCCAACAGCTTGACTCTGTGTGTGTGTGTGTGTGTGTTTGTGTGTGTGTTTTTGTGTGTGTGTGTGTGTACCTACATATAAACATATATAATTGCAGTTTTCAGTTATTCTATTTAAAGATTAATGTTTAACCTTTTTTTTAAAAAATGCATGTCTTCTAAATAATTAAAGGCATTACACTGAATTTTAGTGATTACAAAAGGAAACCAAGTGTTCGAAGCAAGATAAAACTACAAGAATAATTATACTGATATATATATTCTGGAACGGGCACAAAGCCCTTTATCCTTGAAACACTCTGGTCTCTGACTTCCTTACTCCCAAAAGAGTAGCAACTCAAGGAGAAAATTGCCTCCAAATGTGCCCAACATTTTGATGCAAGAAACAAAATACAATCTTCCAGCCTCAAGTCTTTTCTAACTCTACCACACTGGAATTGCCTATTTCATGCAAGCCTATTTTTCTCTCCCATCATATAGAGTGAAAAATAAACCATTTTAATTTCACCATTACAAAAGTGGGTATTATTCTCTCACACCAAATAGCCAAGTCTTATATAACGTCAACTTTCTCTGTTTTTCATAGATGTACAATAAGGACCAAGGAATTTAGGACATCACCATACAAAAAAACCTGATGAACTCTAAGCCAGAGGCCCAAAAATCAAGCAATAGCTTTTCTATGTCCATAAATATATTCAAACTGACAGGAAACACCAAAACATCAGCTTAGACAGGATAATGCAACAGAGCTGTACTGTATGCAACGGTATGTATGACTGGCTAAGTTCTATAAATAGTCCTCCACTTACAATTAGTGATTATTACAGGGGCACTAAACAAAAGGACTCAGAATTGGTCCCCGAAGTTATAAACCAATGCAGTGCCCATATGGTCACATAATCAAAATGTAGATGCTTGGCAGTCTGCCTGCACTTATGACTACAGGGCACTTCAACTCTCCTCAGCTGTTTACCTCTCCCCCACTATGTATGTCCTTCTGGCCCCCTGCAGTCCATGGCCCCTGCCATTTTAGCTGACCTGCACTTCCTTTTGTTCCCACTGTTGAATAAACATGGCTAGCCTGCCCATTCAAGGTGCAACTGCTGGCTGCATGAGACTTTCTTCCCAAAGTCATGCACAATGGTCTTCTCACAGGACCAGGGGAATATGGCTTCACATGGCTCTCCTAAAGAGGCAGGGTGGATGGTGAAGGTTCGCTAGGGCAGCGGGGGCCTCGGACAGCATAGTGGTGGGAGAAACTATGGCTGGGACTGGATTGGGGCACTTCCTGTAAAGCTTTGGTTGTTGGAGTTTCCCAGGGATGAGGAAGAGATGGAATGAATAGGTACCATATTTTTTGGAGTATAAGATGCATCTTTTTCCCTCAAACAAGAGGGTGAAAATCTGGATGCGTCTTATACATTGAATACAGCACTTTTGCCCTACTGAAACCCCGCAAAAATGGACGTGCAGAGGGTTTGGGAAGCTTTCAAAGTGCTCCTGGGCCTGGGGAGGGGTGAAAATGAGCAAAAAAATGGGCTATTTTTGCCCCCCCAGTCCCCTAGAGCACTCTACAGCCTCCCAAAGCTCTGACCCCCCCCCCTTTTTAAAAAAAACAAGGTGTGCAGTGGGTTTGGGAGGCATGCTGAGTGCAAAACCTTTTTTTAAAAAAATTACCTCTTCAAAATCATGGTGCGTCTTATACTCCGGTGCATCTTATAGTCTGAAAAATACGATACATGAGGGGAATTGAAGGGAAGGCATTTCCTTATCTTGGAAGAAATGAAACCTGGAGTTGGGACGTTCGCACCTGGAATGGTTTAGATTGGAGTGGGTTCTTGCCTAATTTGTTTAACAACAGTAACAGGGAATGTCAAGGTTGCCATTGGTAAGGAATGAAGTCATACAACATCATGAGTATGACCACATTGCTTGGCAATGGAAATGCTAGTCCCAATTGTGATTGTAAGTCTAGGACTACTTACATAATGTGCAAAACTGAATCTGACATGCTACAAATTCCTCAACAAGTTTCACACGTTCTGTTTCACTTTGTCATGAAGAACATGGTTGCTTCTTCACTCCATGGTAAAAAATGAGCTCAAATCCAGCAAGATCTCCCTCATAGTCCCTTGTTCAAAGCATAGAAAAAACCGACATAGCATTGTCTCTGTATGGCGAAGAGAAACTCTGTGAAACTGGGAAATATTTGCATATCCAAATATATACAGTGCCTTCTGAGAAAACAGATGCTTACCTAGGCCAGATTCCAAACCTAGTCATAAAAAGGAATCATTCTTCCTCTTGGACAACCCTAAAGACTAGATGTTTTCACCTCTATTTTAAAATAATACTGCTTGAACCAAAAAACTTGCCTATCATAACTATGATTTTTTTAACAACTCAGTTGCCAAAAAATAGTTTATGAAACTTGTTTTGTTATCTAAAGCACCATAGCTTAGAGTTTTAAGAAGACACTAACTGCCGTCAATTCTTCATGTTTCTCATTTTGGACACAATGAATAAGTGGATAAAAGGAACAAATTGTGGTCCAAGGGTGAGATAGTGATACCAAACTTGTTCCTGTTAATTGACCACCCTTTATTATAATAACCACATCTGAAAGGAGCTTATGTCTGACAACAGTACTACACCAGAATAAAACAATTATTGCTTCCCCTCTTTTATCTCTTACTTTTACGGAACTATCTTCAAGGTAATTGTCCTAAGATTCTTAATGGATGTATCCTTCAATATTCTTACCGATATTCGGGTGCTTCAAAAGGCGACAGATTCTAGCTTCTCTCTCTAATTTCTGGTGATCTGTAAGAAATGAAAACATAATTTTAGAAAAAAAATATTCTTGATTTAATAGAGGCAAAACAAATTGTAACCTGGGCATACAATATATAACACACTTTGTCTATTGCAAATTGCAATAATTCTGGATTCTAGATAGGTGTTTTCCTGACAGAAACAAAACAGGAAACAATCACCACACCTACTCAAGTCAAAAATTGAAAGTATAACATTTCACTTTCATATCCTGCTCAGTTTTCCTTATAAAACTGTGGCTTTCAGAAGCTGTGGACATGGGCAATAAAGCACCGTTTTCCATGTCCCCCAGTTCCATATTCCACCTCCTATGTTGATTCTCTCCATTTTTCTTCTTCCCTTTCCTGAGGGAAATATTTGAAAGTATAACCATTAGGAAAAGCTATATGATATGAGCATAGGCTTCCACTGTAACTGTGAAAAACTTTAATAAAGAAACTTCCAATCATTAGTCTCCATGGGACTAGCCAAGGATATATAGGCATGCTCTTTTTCTACAAAAGCTTAATAGTGTATCATTAATAATTTTCAGAAATTATGTTTTACAAACTAATTGCCAATTTTAGAATTCCAGTGAAGGATAACCATAATCAATGAATGAAGGAGAGAAATGTATTTAGAGAAGGCAGAGCAAGAGGTAGATGCCCACTAGATGAGGTTCAATCAATCAATCAATGATAAAGGTACGTAAAGCTTCAATTGTTTTATACAATTATACAAAATTATAAAAATAAAATTTCATAAAATTGTTTCATGTACCTTTATGTACATAAAGCTCTGTTTTATGTACATAAAGATACACAAAGCTCCAATTGTTGCCATCTATGATTCTCTATACCGTATATACTCGAGTATAGGCCGACCCGAATATAAGCCGAGGCACCTAATTTTACCACAAAAAACTAGAAAAGTAATAGACTCGAGTATAAGCTTAGGGTGAGAAATGCAGCCG